AAAAGCATTGTCGGCTTCAAAACGCACACTTAATGCTAGTGGGCGTCAAAAGAATGCTACCCTGGTGGCGTTTACCTCTATGTACAAATGTCCCGCACCAGTCGGGCGAAAAGCTTCCTGAGGCCGCGGACAGATGGCAGTTCGGTGCCGAACGTCATGTCACCGTGTTCACCCGACGCGTAAAAATTAGACCACTTAGGGAGACAATAGCCATCATTACAGTGACGACGGCAGACAATCTCCCATCCAGCGAGGTGGGGCCGCACGCAATGGAAGTGAAAACAAGCCATCATCCGATGGTGCTCCTCGCCCTTTGTCCTCGCCTCCCAACTAATCGGTGTCCTGCGCCCTGTGGTTTCAGAGCCGAGAGAAAAACCGGCCGTGAGCACAAAGAGTGCGTTGCACGCGGCCGAACCGACCACCCTGGGAAGGCATCGCTGCGTGGGGGCCGCCACTCGAGTGAGATGGCCCCTGGACACTGAGCTCATACCGTGCGACCCTCTGTTGGGCAAGGGTAGCAGAGCGTGACTCGGAAATTACCATAACGTGAGCGGCAGGCCGTAGGAGACCGGCGACAGCCGTCGCCCGCACCGAGTCATGAATATTTCCGAGCTGCTCTGAAATAGCTCGAACCCACTGGAACGGCGCCACGAGAGCAGTTCTTCAGCCGTAATGGCCAAACAGAGACAAAGTCGTGCGCGGGCTGGCGCGTCCGGCCCACAATTAAAGCCCGGCTGCCGCCGGAGCGCCGCTAACTCGGCGGCTGGCTGCCAGTGCCGAGGGTCGGCGGGCGGGCGGAGCGTCGGCCCAGGCGGCCGGCCGCCGCCGCTCGTGACCGGACCGTGTTTAGAAATGGCCTGTTTACCGGGGGCAGGCGCCCGACCGGCCGCCCCGGCGCCGCGGCGACCGCGCGGGCGCGCCGCACGACCCGCGCGTTTGTTTTGTCTCGGAGGACGGCGGCGGGCTGATGAGCAGCGTTCGACGCTCGCGGGGTGGGGCGCGATGTGCAGGTCTCGCCCGCGCGCTTGGCTTGTGGTAGACGGTCAGCAGCTTCTTAACGGTGAGATGATAGCGGTCACCCGCCGTTTTTCCTCATTCGCCGCTTTGTCCCGAATCGCCGCGACGCCCCGTTTATCCGGGGCAAGGCGCATGCATCGGCCATGAGCGGGCGTAAGTGCCCCCTGGTGGGAGCCCCGCCCGAGCGCTGGCACTCAGCCCGAAGAGGGGTCCGTGAGCGAACAAGGCTCGGCAGCGGAGGACTCCCAGGTGCATGTAACCCTTCTCCGCAGCTCTCCACTCTTTCGTCCCACGTAGCCTTGCATGTAACTTTGTGGTGCATGTAACCTTCCCCACAACTCTTCGCTCCCTTTTATCCCATAGCTTCGGAGTGGTCACTGCTGACTGAAATAATTTTAATCCAAACAAAACAACACCAAGTCGGAGCTGCCGACGTTTAAGAGAAAGCTCAGGCTGGCCGTCGGCTCAGCTCGGCTAGCACATCGGCCAGCGATGTGCTAGCCGAGCTGAGCCGACGGCCAGCGAACGTCGTCAGATAATTTCGTTCCCAACAGCGGCCGTCGCTGTTGCATGCTCTCGGCCCATCGAGCTGTACTCTGCACCCCAGCATTACTCTAATGTGCCATGCCACCCTAAACAGCGCACAATGCACCATGGGATTGATTGCACACGTTATGCATCATCACTCCATCCGACGTGTTGCGGCCATGTCAAGAGGTGAGGCAATCCTGTGACGTCCGGCGCCGCGTACACACCGGCGTCCAACCAGCAGGCTCAGACGACCCGAGATCTGACCCCCAGGGACCACGCTCACACCACCGCCTCTGCGTGCGTCGCGCCGATACGAGGCGGGCGGGCTCCGATCGCCGGAGGTCGGCCTCTCTGTGCCCGGGCCCCACCCTGACCTGCCGTGGGAGCAGCCTCCTCCGGCGACTCCACCCACGCCAGGACCGTGCGACCGCCGCAGACCGCCCGCGGCCCGCACCGATAGGCGTCCGGCCACGCTCCGGGCGCCGCCTGTGTGCCGTGTCGTTACGTTTTATCGGTCCGCCTGCTATCACTTACACGTGACCTCCTGACACCGGCGGGTCAGCGGCGCTGTAATATCCGGCTTACGCGCCGTCGTAACGGCGCGCCAGGCGCGCCCCCGCCAAGCCGAGCTGGTTAACCCCGCGCTCTGGGCGGGGTGCGACGCGCGCACCGCTCGTGCAACGGCCGCGGTGGTCAATGGCGTCGATACGATCGCGCGGAGAATGGAATGCGAGTGGATGGTCGTCCACACGCTAACATTCCGTCGCAGTGGAATGGCGTAAGAGCGGTGGGATGGCGTGAAATGCAGAGAGGTCTACCCCGGTAAGGCCGACGTCATAAAGGTGGAGCTCAAGCCACGCTTAAGCTGCGTCTTGTTTCAAGCCTTTGCTTTGGGTCTCGGAAACTGCGTAAGCCGTATGAGGTGTATGCCAGGTATGACTGCACAAGTAAATGTTACGGTGGATCTCTCCCAAGGCTTGTGCCAGCTATGTGTCGCATTTCTTAAGTCAACGGAAGTTTACAGGAGAGAGTGAGAATGAACGGAAATACCGGTGTTCAATGTACCGAATTCGGAACGAAAAGAAAAGAAAGCTCACGAAAAGAAGGCTAATGCAACATTGATTGATCTTAAAGATGCCAAAGTGCTTCCACCAGCCGCCAGGGCTGCGAAGAAGTGGGTCTTTGTCCAAGGTCCAAGGCTTGTGCAGAGGGACTAATTGCAGGTTTTGAAGGCGATCATAATCATCCGCCTCTTAGCTCATGCAGCACAAAGCTTGTGTCACCTGACACAAAAAAGTCATCAATCATACACAGAACATGCATCTGTCGCACGTAAAAGGGAGCGACACTTAATACCCGACTGTCCGTCTCCTTTGACGATAGAGGCCTTTTGCATAATGGATGAGAAGCCAATTGCACGTTGACGGTATCCCCGCAATCTTGCACTCGAGGCGAGACCTGAAGCACATTGTGCCTGGACGATACATCACGCCAGCGGGCGACATCAGCAAGAAGGGTAGCTTCTACGCTGCAATAGAAACGCCAGTCACGTGCGGGGTGGGACGCGTTAGGTGCTGCTGACGCTTACGGTCATGCAAGGCGGAGGCCGGAAGATGGATCTCAAGTGCGGTTATCGTGACTGTGTAGTGAAGGCAACCGCTTTGTTTTGAACTGGTTATATCAAGACGGTTTTTCAACATGCCTTATTTCGCTCATTACCGTGGTGCGTGCCAATCGCATAACATGGAAACATGCCATGAGATTCGGTTGACTATTTACGTTTGACTTTGAATTAATGTCATTTTCCTATCTAAACGCAAGCCTCAACAAGGAGGGATGTAGCGTACAGCCGCCATATGCACTGCAAAATAACCTGCTGCAAAAGTGCAGTAAATAGAGCGTGACTGAATCAACTCAGCCCATGAGGGCGTGGCAAGCTGTCACCTGAGTAATTGGGGATTAATGACATGACACAAGCCTTTGCTTTGTGTCTCGGAAACGGCGGAGGCCGTATGCATTTACTCACATGAAACCAAATGAGACATAGTTCTCAAGAGATCCAGCAGTCGTAAAAAGAAGCGATAACGGACTGCGTGCATTGAAGCACAAGCCATTAAGTGATAGTTGCTGGATCGGTGGACTAATTGCAGATACCATCCGGTACACAGATCATTAGTATCGATAAAGCTCTTAGATCTTTACCGCTTGCAGCAAAAAGCGGTATATGAATATTCCAATCAGATCGCGAGATCAAAAGACTCCGTACAAAAGTACAATTCCAACCTCAACCCTAGCCTTGGGTAGGAAATTCCAATCCTATCCTGAATACGCTACTGCTTCACACGTACCGCGGTGTCTTTTCTAGTGTCTTTGGTTCCACGTACATGATAGCAATCTGTAGATAAGGCCCGGTTGGTTACATGGCTGTACTTTTCCAGTTAAAGCCGACTCCACCTTGCCCAGATTAGTGGTAGGAGAAGAGCAGAATACGTGTAAGCTGCTCACGCATGCCGATGCCTTACGATATACATGAATTGCTCCACAACTGTCGATACAACACGGCGGATGCGTTGATGGGGGCAGAACGTGCGCCTCCCGAGTCGATATATTGACTGATAGTGATTAAATGCGTTTGCATTGATAAAGAAAAACCCAATGTAGTCCAAAGTTATGTGTCAGTGCAAAAAGTCTTACCCTTTGCCTGTTTTTATTTATCTAAATTGGAGCAGCTATCACCGCTGCATATTATGTTGTGGGTTGCGGTTCTAAATGAAATTTTCGTGGTGCTTTCTAATATCCATGTCAGTAACGACTGCAGAGTGCCGTTTGTTAAGCATGAGGTGTATGTTGCTCCGAAAGCCACAACTCATCAAATGAGTGAAGCCTGAATGTCATGAAACTTCACCGTCGTCCAATACACGGCTCAGTACACCAGCCAAGCTCTAGAACTCTGGCCAAATCACTCAAACAAAACTCTACCTGGAGTCGATCTATGTCAGAACGGTGGGCTCGCCGTTCTGCAAACTCTTAAAAGGTATGCAACACTTTTATATAATGTCATTATATGTTTAAGAGGCAAGTATGCACTATGTTACGCTCCAAGATGACGTGAGCAGGGGGAGCGGAGCGGGACGTCCCACCTGAGGGCGGAAGTTACGCGCGATCAGTCCAGTGTTTCTCATGACGGCGTTGTACCCAAACACGTATTGTCCTTACAACGTCACGTGCCCTGCCCATTCAAACACGCTTTCACCACAGGTGGTGAATGCATGGGGTAGGTCTGCCCCTTGTTCCATCCCCATGCCAGTCTCACATCCAACTGAATCCGCGATGGCAAACGGTGAGATATCGGCCCCGGCGACGCTCGTTCTCCTGCCGGCCGCTAGACGTCACCACCTGCGGCGCGGCCGGGTGCGCGACGGGCGCCGACCGATCAGTGGTGTCCGGTCAGCTGTCCGGGCAGGTGCACCGCGGAGGGGCGCTCAGTCGTGACCGACCACCGGCTGGCAGCAGTGCGCGCGTGCTGTGACGAAGTCAGCTCTGCCTCCGCAGCGTGGGGCCGCACCGGGCCGAGACCGCCGGCGACGCCGGAACTCTGACGAGACCCCGGCGGGGTCAACTCCGCGGCGATGGCGGTGCTGTTCGTGCTCGCTGTCGTGTCCGCCTGTCTGCGAGGTGAGACAACTCTCGTGCCGACGTCTGGCTGGAGCGCCGGACGGCGTGAGACGTTGCACTGGACGAGATGGGACGGGCGAGGCGTCGCTGCCGAGCCCCCTTTGAACCGGAGGATAAACGTCGCCACGGTTTATCATTGGCGACGGGTGCAGAAAGAACGCCGGCCAATCGTGATGGACCCTGCTGCGTGGTGCGACGCCCCTCACTGTAATAGGCGGGGACGATTGCCGGCGCGGTCATATCTCGCGGTCGGGCCTCAGACGGGATATGTTTATCGGGCTCCCCTACGGCGTGAGGCATACCTTGCGTCGTCATATTTCTCTCGGTGATCGGAGACCGCGAGCAAGATCGCCGACACGTCACACACGCCGACGGCCGGCGCCGTGCTGGGAACACATGCTTTATGCAGTGTTGCGGCGGCTGTTCATCTCACACAATCGAGTCCCGCGCCTGCTAATTTGTGGCTCTCCGCCAAAGAGGATCGTTGTTTTCTAGTTGCACGAATGTTTTACATTTGCATAATGACGTAGAAGCCTCATTTGAGGTTTTCCTTGTGACACATGCATTTGAGGAACCGTCTCAAATTATCTGATGACGCGTCGCCAGTTTCATGAAAATTGCATGAATAGCAGGAGGCTCATTTAATTTCCGCCACGATTAGCGATGTCACATCACACGGCAATCAGCAGTGATGTCTTGCTGTTTTCCATTATAGTTTCCGGTGCTATCTACTTAATGCGTCGAAGTCCCGGATGAAAGACTCCAAATGAAATAGCTTGCGGCCCGGTTGGGAGCACCCGGTGCTATCGGCTAAGCTTCGGTGTCCAGCAACTTTGGCGCCGCGCCCTTCCACCCCGATGGCATAGCAAAAGGGGCGACGGTCGAGTCTCGGGCAAGCAGTTCCGGGGCTGACCTATACGCTGACCTGGCCCTCTCACGGTCTAAGACGGCGAGATGCATCTTGTGGCAGATTCCAGTTATTCATGCAATGCTGACATAGATTGGCGATGCGGATGTACGAAACGATGGCTTTCCAAGCAGAGTGCCGCTATTCTCAAAACCGAATAAGCTTCCTGCTTGTGCTCTGTATCCACGAAATGTTAAATATGCGTCGCAAGGATCACTATTGTCAAGGATCACTATCGTCAAGGATCTCCATCGTCACCCTGCGATTCCGAGCAGCAAGCGCATTTGATGCCGAGTTCCAGACCTATGAATTGGACAGTAGGCTTCTGCAAACTAGCCATGAACGTTTAATGTTGCGCATCGTGTGCCTGCTGGCAAGATATCATGCAGAGCGCGGTGAATAACGGGCTCAGTTCGCCGCATCACGCTGAGATGCTATGTGCGCTGTAACTCATCCCCGACAGCTAAATTCGCTAAACGGTCGGTGCTGCCAATCCCGCCGACATCAGCCACCGGCGCGAGCGTGCCGGCGCCGCCGCCCGTCCCGGCGGCGGGGGCGCGAGTGCTGAACACGAGAACGGGGGTCGTAGCACGCGCCGTAACTCGTGCCCGACTGCCGGGGGCGGGCCGACGCGGCCAGGATCGCAACATCGCTCCTCCCGGTCCGCCTCGCCGGCCCCGGAGAGGGGGGGGGGGAGGGGGCGCCAACGGCCGCACTCCACCTCTGCAGGAGGCCAGCGAGGGGGAGCAACTCGGCTGGGCTGCACTCAGGAACGCTGCGGCGAGCTGCTCTGATGCCGAACTACAGTTCTGGTATGGACAGATGGTTCGGTGAAGCCGTTCAGTATAGTTAATAGCGCGTGCTGCGAGGCATTGGAAGATGTTTGATGTTATCGGAGAAGTTGTGCGGTCAGCCGGCGTGAAAATCGCGGTAAGACGCTGGATGGTTCCAAGTCCTTGTTAAAATACAGCCGAAATGCGCTGGGGAAACAGCCAGACTTTTGAGAAATAGCCTTGTTCGCGGCCCTTAAGTTAAATCCCTTGAGGCAACGTGTGGTTAGTGGAGCTCCCGTGGAGTTTATGTACTGGAGCAGAGCTGCGTTAGATGAGCGACTTTTATTCTATTGACATTGATATAACCTAAATCAATGTGGAATCGGTATTATGACCATTTCGATAAGCCGGCTATTTCGGCGCACTATTTCATCCGAAGGGCGTAGCAACAGGCCATCCTGATATCGGTGCAATATCTACCCCTGACTGAGAAATCGGTTAGTCGGATGAAAAGGCTTCATAGGTCGCTCATAAACAACAGATTACAACACAATTAGAAGAGCAGACCCTATGTCCATCGTTATCGACATAAAACATATGTTCGCCTCGGCGCATCATAAATCATGGCGACACCTAGATGACAAGAGTTTGTAATTATTGTTCCCGAAATAAATGGGTTATTGAAAGCCCAATGAAAACTCACGCGCACAGGAGCAATCGCAACGTCACTAGAACGTTCCCGACAGCTGTTTAGGGAGGGGACGAGAGCGTTGGCAGGCAGTGCGCATCTCACATGATGGTGCCAATCAAAGCTGCTGTAGAAAAGAACGGCCTGTGGCGTCATCATGACATTGTGGCGTTGACTGACAACGAACGGGAATGTCGACCACACATATCATGATTGGTCAGCTTCCACATGCATTTGGTAGGCAACGCACCAAAATGTTTTTATTACTGTTTCTCAATTGAGTACGCTGTGGTCAAAGACTTATCATCAACATCCGCACGTGTAGTCAAAGTGTCCAGAACATGCGATAACTCTGTGGTCTGCCGGTCTTGTTGCAGGCGTGCAGTCTGTGCAGATCACGGAGCTGTCCGTGCCCTCTACGGTACTCAACGGCTCCGTGCCCAGCGTCGTACTCGACTGCCTGTACGCGCTGGACACGCCCAACAACACCGCCTCCGGCCTGGTGGTCAAGTGGTACCACAACCGCAGCCCGGCGCCCGTCTACCAGTGGATCCCCGGCTACCCACCGCAGGCGTTCGGCCTGCTCCGAGGTCACGTCAACCTGGGTCACGTGGCCAGCGAAGACCCGCTGATGCGTCACCGAGCTGTTCAGCTGATCCAGCCGCGACCAGAGCTGAGCGGGGAGTTCACCTGCAAGGTCACCACGTGGTCAGGCGTGGCGTCGTCCACCAAACGGATGGTCATCTACGGTGAGTGGCCTGCGCGCAACGGATCGTCATTTGGGGCAGTGAGTGGTCTCCACTAAACGGATAGTCATCTACAGTGGGTCGAATGGGTTCATGGTTCAATGAAGCTGATCCGGGGCGACGTTATCCACCAATCGCATAGTCATCTGCGTTGAGTGGCCTGCGCTCAACGAATGATCATTTTCGGCGAACAGTATGCCCCAAACAGGCTATCATCTGCGGGGAAACGGTCCAATGATTCACTGGAACTGATCCAGGACGACAGCGTCCACCAAACGGGTGGTCACCTGGAGCAACTGGGACGGGTCCAACCGGTTTCATGAGCAATCGAACCGGACCGATAGGAGAGCCCGTGAACATCTGATCCGAACCTGCGATGTTAATTAAGCAGGTCCCGTCCACACCCTTGGAGCGCCGGAATCAATTTGGTGAGGGGCGAGCGATAAAGCCCTTGCTTCGAGTGATCAGTCAGAAGTGTTATGATTTTAGGGGGACAAGTCATTTATTCCAAAATGGTTTCGAGCAGCACTTATCTTAGCAGCATCTCTCAGCTAACCGACACGCGAAGCAGCCGAGCCTAACGGAACGGGGGTTCTGTTTCAGCTCCGGTCAAGACGATGAGTATATCGGCCTCAAAACCGTCGTCGCACCGAGTGACCTTGACCTGCCAGGCTGAGGGCATGTACCCGGAGCCTGAGGTCAGCATAGTGGTCCAGGGATCGCAATCCAGCAGGTAATCACACAACGGCGAGGTGAAGATCCGTTATGTGCTGTGGATGAAGGATCCCCATTGATTTCAAGGCCCCTTATTTTCCTGGTGTTTCAACATGTTTAATGGATTTCTGTGAACTCATGATAAATGACAGAGGACAGGATAGATAAAACTTGACGGCGGTTACTGTGCTGCTATGTTGCTCGACGGTTATGGTATGCACGCAGGTTCAGCCAGGCATTTGTGCTATTTTAATGACTTTCCAGTGGGACAATGTAGCGTTGTGCTATCGACTGCTGGTGTTTATTCTGAGTACACAGTTTTGCGGTATTTACCGCCACCAACACTAAAGGCCTTACGGGTGGGCGAATATTTTGTTGCGGTCATTGTTATAAATTATGATGTGAATCCTTAAGGTCGTTAAACAGCTGACACCGGGTTAAAGGGGCGGATATTTTGACATAATCTTTTACGAGACACGAAATGCTTCACACCAGAAATTGTATTGCTGTTTCTCTGGTCATAGCCTTCGTTTTTGTCCTCTTTATAGCATCCACTTGGGTTCGTATGCTGAAAGAGCAGCACCAAACGACGCATGGTCGTCTGTACAGTCTCATACAACGCACATCGCATAGGAAGTAACAACAGAAATAATCATCGAAACATTTCAGTACGTTTGAAAACATTCGTTGCATCGTCTAAGCATCCTCCAATCAGCAACTTAAGATCTGGTTGTTCGGCGCGATCATTTTTGCTCAGTCGTATTGAACACTATCTTGTTTAATAACACCAATCAACAAAGACGCCAATGCGGCCAAGTACCCAGCATGTCAGATCAGTTGCAGCAACCGTGAACACACAGTTCAACTGGCTACTGACCGATCCGGGAGTGACACTAAACCCAGCTGACCGATCCGGGAGCGGCACCAAACCCAGCTGACCGATCCGGGAGCGACACCAAACCCAGCTGACAGATCCGGGCGCGACACCAAACCCAGCTGACCGATCCGGGCGCGACACCAAACCCAGCTGACCGATTCGTGCGCGACACCAAACCCAGCTGACGGATCCGGGAGCGACACTTATCCCAACTTAGCCGCACGCTACCCTGGGAGGCGGGAGGCACCGCCTCTCGTGTATTGGACGAAGCCAGCAAAAATCATACAGGATTTTCCTGCTGGCGGCCACGTATCGCAACCACAATGATCTCGAGGCACGAAGAAAAATACTACAACCCCAGTTCTCAGACGGTGCTTGGGTAATCTGTCTCGTTACGACAAGATAAAGGCTGCCGCACATTTGCGGTAAAAAGCATGATTTACGCTCCCTTCTGCAGTAGATGGTGCATCTACCATCATATAACTCCCAATCAAATAAGGAGCGCAGTTGTACAGTACAGGCTAAACGCCATAACGCAGTTTTTGTACTAATGTATATCAGATGCACTAGCCCTCTTCTACAAGGGTCACGCTGTCTACGCGATTTAGGTCGCACATACTTAATATTTAGCTCCTTGTTATACAGACGTGTGCGCCTTATGCCATGCGTAGCCACACAAAGCATCAATTTGGACAGTCATCAAGATATCTAAAACCAATAAGATTTTTTTTTAATAATACGTTCTCGTGCAAAAAAGAACTGTCTTGTTACTAGCGTTTCTGGGCACTTGTGTTTCCAGACACAAGGTGTAAAAAACACTCGAAAATGAGCAGCTTCACGCCTACAGTATCATTACAGTATATCCTAGGAATATGGTTCAGGGCGCATCAAGTTACCCTGCCGCATCAATTTTGACACCAATTATAAGGGTACCGCCACAGCAGTGTAGTGTTTAGGCTGCGCGGCTGAGAAAGTAGAGGTACTGATTTGGTTATCTGCGTTGCTCGTCCTTCCTGCCAGGGTGAGAGGCAGGCGATGTCGTATAGCCTCAGCAGCTGAATGCGTCGTAAGCCCTAGTGACGACGACGATACCGATCATTGCAAGAGATGTAGTATTCATGTCGGACATCACGCCATACGCTCCTTGAATGACGACGTGGTCGTAATAGTCAGGTTTATTTACATGACCAGCTGTTTCAGCATGCAGCACAAATTGCACCGCACTGATGTCCCGTCTTGTCGTAATTGGACCTTAGCGATGCATTCAGTCATACGTTGTGCGTCGGCTGTTTCTCACCCTGGTGGGAATGGCGGGCAACGCGCGAAATTGAGCCTCTGTTTCTTTCCAGCCGTGCAGCGTAGCCACTACGTTACCAGTAGCTCAATGTCCCGCTTGCAAGCAGCGATACACTTTCACCAACACTAGTTGTGTCGTCAGTCCACAGCAGAATTATAAATTAGGTCAGACGCCGGTGTAAGATTATACCGCAATGTTTCACATCCCTTCAAGGCCCAGAAATTTGGCTTGCATAATCCTAACCAGCCCTGGTCGTGCAGGGCTGGTTGGTGACCGTCACAGCTGCAACATTTCCCGCCTGCTGACTGATCCATCGGGGAAACAACTATCCGCCTCACAGTGTACGGGCCCTGACCAGCACGGCACCACCGTGAGGCGTACCAGCGCAGCCAATGACCGTTGCTTGTATCGATAGGGAGCGGCTGAGGGGCCTACAGGTGACGAAGGCGCTGGTGGACGGCGCCTACAGCGTCCGGGTGACCAAGCAGCTGGACGACCGGCAGATCCCGGCCCAGTGTCTGATCCACTGTCTGCTCGTCCTGCCGCACACCGGCTACTCGGTGTCAGAGAAGATACCGCACATCAGAGGTGTGTACCCGCTAGGAAGACAGGCGCGTGTTTATCGGTTCACAACCCAGTTGTGGCTGGCGAGGATAGAAAGTTACTGCGAATACGAATGTCAGGTTTCATTTTTTAGTGATTAAATGCGTCCGATGTGTTTGTACTGATTTCAAGTACAGAAAAACTCAATGTTCATACGTTTGCAGCGAGGCGACATTGTTACATCTGACTTATTTAATCTAGCTACAGACGAATAATAAGATCGAACTCTTCAAAACGAGAGGCCAGCGAGAAAAAAGCAAAGTTGTCGAAACTGAGGTGCAGGTAATTCTGAGTATTTTTATAAGACGGGGAATATCTTAACAGATGTTTATTTTTCGACAGGAGTCACTGGGTGAGACTAAAACGGACTCAATTTGTATGCAAACTGCGGCCGTCTTTTAACTGCAGAACATTAGAACAAGCCTCTCAGGCTCGAAGGTCTCCATTTTCATGATTTATTTGGTCAGGCATTTATCTATCATTGGGTATCATTGTCATCACTAATGTCAGTTAGAAATGTATTGCCGATTATGCGTTGGCTTGTAAGCTGTGGGGCAGGAAATGAACGCTGCAAAAAGGCGATGTGATAGCACATGGATATACGTGATGAATGTGGTTGGCTGAAGTAAGTTAAAAACTTTGGTTTTTCCTATGTCGATATCGTGATTTACGATGTTATCAACGCAATAGAACTGGTTATGCGGGACGCGACGCGTACGCCTGGTCAGTAAAAACTGTCCGCCGCGGACGAAAAACTCAAAGCGTTGTTATCTGATAAGAAGTGTAAAGCCATGAAGACCGAAGTTTCTATGAGATTATGGCACGCAAGATTTATAGGTGCATGTGTTTCAGTCATAAAATAGCTTTAACGGCCAATGGAACACACTGTATAGTTTGAAAAGTGTGTGCGTCATCAGTCGTAATCTTCTGCACTGCTGTCATGTGGGGTTCAATGCTACTTTTGTCAGATTGCTACATTTTTTTCGTTTGCTATCATCAACAATATAAGTCTTAATTTACAGGTCAAACGTTAGTTTGAGAGCACTGCGTCTCGTGCCTTTTTTTTTGCTTCTTATTTAACATCTGGAGCTTCCGAGTCATTAAGTACTGTTCCATATTTACAGGGGCCGCATCCCATTCAACGACTCCGATATTTGGACGCAAGCAAAAGTTTGCAGGTGAGGTAACCATTTTCATTCGCAGTTCCATTAACACGTCCATGATTTATTGGCCAAGTGCCAATCCATTCAGATTCTCGATCTGTGCGGAACACAGTGAACGTGTGAATGTTTCCCTGTTGTCGTTCGTAGTGCATAAAAATCAACTTATTTAGATAAGACAGTAGCATTAGCCTTATTCCTCGGCGAAAAACCAGGAGAATGGAAATATAGTTGGGTTGATGTTTCCATTCTCCTGGTTTTCTCCTTGGAATAAGGCTAATACTTCTGCCTTAGCTTAGTGAATAATGCTCCTCGCTAATGCACTGGATAGCTTATGTAAAATTGACTTATTGCCTAATGTGTGTTCTCTTAAAACCACCGTAATTTGAAATATTGACTTGTTTAAGAAAGTTACAGCTGTCCAGCTCATGCCATTCCATTCGATATTAAATGGAAAACATTTATTTCCAAAAAAGCGAACAGCAGTAAAGTGTTCATCGGCTGCGTCTTCTCATAGTTGCGCTAATAATAAATGAAGAATCATTGCCGTTTTATTTTCCACCACCTGGTGTGGTCATACGATTGCTTTACTCACGGTTGTCTCCTTTTCAGGACGATCTTTACGGAGGCTCGCAGGTAAAATGTCAAAACTATTTGAATTTTGACGCCCTACGCTGCCATTGTCTATTGCCTGGATTTATAGAGACTGAATTATATTTTGTTTATTGTTATAAGGAAATCAAACCCAGGTTCATTTGTATCATGTCAGGTGCGGGGCAACAAACTAAACTCACCTGTTGTGAAGCTCTCGTACTGCGTAACGCTTGGGGTCTTGTACAAGCACATGTTCGTAAGGGACGGTTTTAATATGACAAACAAGAATCTTGAGCTCAATGAATCACCAGCATGGTTATTCCAGGCTCTTCTCATCGAAGTCAGTTGAGCACCAGCTTACATGGTGTCCTCCTGCTTGGCATTCTTCTGAGACTACTCAGGCCAATTTGTGGTAAGCGTCGAAATCAAAAAAATAATTAGCAAAATGAGTGCTAACGTATGTGCTTCCCAGAAAGGCTAAACTTCGCCGTAATGCAACGTAAAGTTCAGCTATTTTGCTGCAGTGAGATATGGATGTTCTTCGGTTTCATCAGGCTAACATGAGCTCCGCATCCACTCCTGGGACGGCCAGACATTCGTGTCACCTCTGCCCCTGATAAAGCATGCGATCAAAAAGAGTAATTTCTGCGCACCATTCTGTTCTGGAGAACTCAGGTGCACAGGATAACTGTAGTTCAAAGTTGGATTCCCTGTTGACATTTGTGTGTCTCAAGATCCCCTCCTCTCGGTCTAAGATTGGGACAGTGACATAGAAAGGTACTGGTATTCGTCCATACCTGGATATCTGAGGATGGGGCTAAATAAATTGTGAAGTAAATAGATTAAAAACATACAGTTTCAGTCATTTTTCTCTCACTAGTCGTCTTCAACGTCGCTTCTTGTGCATGTCGGCTGGCTCAGTTCGAATGGGAAGTTAGGTTATTAAGTTATTAAAACAAAATGCAGCAAATATTACTTAATTGTTGACATATTAGCCTCAAAGGTTTCCACTCGACCCATTAATTGGTGTATAAGGTCCAACAATGACGAAACAAACATCCCTTCCAGATGTGGCGGGATGGGCGCGACTGCCGTGAAGCCGACCCCCGACTACACGGTGAACCGTGACGTCATCAAACGTCGTCGTGACGTCATCAAACTAGTCAGAGACTCGACCAAGTGCCTGTGATTGCTAGAGCCAGAGACAGCTGGCTTCCTCGATAGTGACTTTTGTGTTGTTGCGTGTTTGTGAATGTTCATTGCCGAGCGGAATGGCTTAGGCTTATGTTGTCGCTTATGACATGCATATGCGATGAAGGGCGGTGAATGATTGCGAACTTGATGATGTTTTAACCCTGCTGATATTACTGATCGAATATATGCATCCATTGTGCTGTGCGATTTATTGTGGTATGATTCGATAATTAAAGGGGAAACGGCCGAATCGTGACACGCTCGTTCGCAGTCAGTAACCCGAAGCCACGCCTCTCTCTTTCCCCTCCTGACACCAGGCCGGCATCGCCCGGGCTGTGTGAGCATCGTGCCCTGGCCCGTGAAACCGTGGGAATCACTAAACAGATGCCCGCCTGAGAGGAGAAGCGTCATGGAGCGCTGACTGGTGGGATGTTGGCACGCTTGATCATGTGCGGAGCAGACTAGATCGACGAAGTTCAGCCAGAGTTTAACATGCGTCGGGGCGGGGAACTCGACGCACCTGAGCGTTTTTCAGAATAACTTCTGGACGGTGACGTGTGGCCACATAGAAGTTTACCTGGCTATAGACATTTGAATAGCCAATCTTTGGACAACAACAATCAGATATGCTTCATAAGGTCGTTGACCTCTCGCCGGTCGAAGTCAAGCCATGAAGTCGCGGAAGAAAATTTAAAGGAATTTTTCGAGCTGACCCGACAGTGGAATGTAAAATGGCTTCATATGACTTTAAGATGGCTGCTTAGACTATTACACTATTCAGACTTTGATTATGACTAATTTCTTTGACCTCAGGCCAGATATAAATGTCAGGTCAAGTCAAAAACTACACCGTTTTTTTTATTGAAAAGCTTGCTTTACGAGATACCTTTTGACATTTATTTCAATTTTTTGATCGGAAGGGCCTCAACAAATTCGTTACTTTGACTTCATGAAGGTTTACCTAAAATGATCCCTACCAGCCTTTTGCTTTGTGGAACGTACCACCTAGCTCTTGATGCTGGTTGTAAATTCAAATGCTAGGATAAAGTCAAAGTATTTTAGTCATTCTGACTCGCTAATAGCCGAGTTAGGAAAATGACTTGATATGATACCGAGTGACCTTTTGTTTAGGAAAGACATCTAGGTGAAACCTGATTGTGAGGCGGTGCGAAAGCACTTGAAACATCACTCTCGAATTTGACCTTATTTGAACCGGAGATCACCCCCTTGGGACCAATGAATTTAAGACAGCTGAGTTTGCATGGATCCCTAACTACTACACTGTAGATTTGGTGCATGTTTTTTACTGGTATGTTCTGCCAGTGGTATTGTTGTCATTTTTGGTATTTTGGTATTTTTACTCTGGTATTTTTTATGTAAGGGGACCACACTGATCCATCCCAACTCTACCCCGGCCGCGTCGTATTCCGCTGTCCAGCCGAGCGCGTGTTAACCTTCATCAAGGTTCTGCATCGCACTATGAATCACGGATAAGCAATGAGGATTCTGGGCACCAAGTCCAGAATCCACAGCTCACTGATGTTGCCAGGTGACAGGATTTCACGGGTCAGGGAACCATTGGGTTTGAACTGCTGATGTGCCGCGGTGTCTCATTCTCTACTGGTGAACGCTAGTTGTGGTGAGCTGACGTTTAGGATGGCTGCCATCGTTGAATCCGAACCATGGCATGCATCGGCGAACGCAAATTCAACCGTCGAAGTTCTAATGCCACTCAGTTTTTAAAAGCTTTGACGTTAGCTGACCAACGTCAGCAATCCATAGTATTTGTTGTTGTTTTTATAGAATCACGGCGCAATAGGCCTCTTTGATCAGCAGCTGAAAAGACTCAGCATTATTCTGGGGGTACGCTTCTTGACCATTCAATGCCACTCATGCGCAGAGAACTCTCGTCACGTCACGGCAAACGGCTCACAGTTAATGATTTACCACTGCTCTTTTGCTCTTCTCGCTAATGGCTTTTTGCCCGCGAGTACGAGTACACTACTAAGCG